TGAAGACCCAATGAAATCGCTCTTGTTCCATCTTATTTTTAAAAAGTTATGCTTTATAGGGGATCAGACAGCAATCCTGGCACGCACATGAAAGGTAAGCCCTCTTCAGCAGAAGGCGTTGATACACACATCCATACTCTTGTATTAATTTCTTGGCACATTTAATAAGATCTGTTGCTTTCTCTTTATGCATATGTATCATTGTCACTGAAAGGTGTTAAGTAACTGCATTCACTTTGATTTTTGTTTTTCTCAGACAGCCTCTCATAGGCTGGGCTGTCTGAAATCAATGGACTTATTATTTTTTTTATGAGCCACCAATGATTAGGGATGGGAAATTAAATCTATGAACAAGCAGAAGTAATGAAACACTTCACTGGAAAGCAGAGTTGGGATGCGAATAACAGGGAAGCAAATGTGCTCGGGATTGGTAGCAAGAATGAAAAGGATGGGAAGAATCTTGGGGAGGATCCCACAAAGATGGGAACTCAGTGTATTTCAAAACATTAGCATGGATGCAGATGTGTATGCACACAGACATGTACATATACATACATGCATGCATGCATACATACATACATATAGATAGGTTTGAAGGATTATAGATTTAGAACTGGAAGGAAACTGAAAGAACATCTAGTCCAACCCTATTATTTTGCTGATGAGGACAGCTGAGGCCCAGAGAAGTTAAAAGACTTACTGAAGGTCACACATGTAGTAAATGATGAAGGTAGGATATGAACCCAAGTCTTCTGATTCCAACTCTGTGCTCTTTCTAATCACTACATTGCCCATTTGTGCAAATTGATCCTCAGACCTTGCCGATCTTTAGCTTTATGTCTAAAGCCATCATATGTGTCTGATCTCTATTTCACAGGCATTGTCTAGTGGTTCACTGTTATGTAATTATAAGTATACAAAAGAGGAAGATTCTTAAGGGCAGAAAACATGCTGTAACTTTTTTCAGAATTAGCTTTATCTGTAGAGGTACATCTATGTGTTATGATTTCACAGCTCATGGGATAGGTCTTCTATTTGGTATGAGGGTCCTTTGACCCTTCCTCGCCTGTTTATTGAGGCTTTAACACTTTTAAAGGACACAAAAATGCTTGTGGGGCCTTGCTTCTTGATTCCCATCACTTTATAGCAGGGTCCTACAATAATGACAATGATGATGATGATAATGATGATGATGATGATGATGATGATAAATGATAAAACTAACATAAAATTCACAATGTATTTTAATGTTATTGTATTTGATCCTCAAAACAAATATGTAGAATAAGTGATATTATTATTCCAATTTTACAGATGAGGAAACTGAGGCTGAAAGAGGTTAAAGTGACTTGTACACAGTCACACAGTATTTGAGGCAGGATTTGAATTCACATCTTCCTGACTCTAAAATCAATTTCTATCCACCTAATTGCCTTATACTTTGGTCCCTGTTGGGTTGAGCTTCCATGTCATTAACATAATAAGTTTTTTTTTAAGTTAATCTGCTTTTTGAAGAAAAAGGAAACAATTATTTATGTCCCCTTTTACAGGATTTAGAATTTTCCATCCATAACATTCACACAATGAATTTAAAGAAGAGAAATTTAGGATGTTCTGATGTAATAAGCAAAGTCATTGGGAAGGGCAGTTTTGTAGAGACGGGCAAGCCATTAGGAAAGTGGATGGTGAAAGGGGGTTAGACCATAGGAGTTAATAACAAATGTATATGATACCTTTCCCTTGAGATGGTAGCTACTAGAAGCCCAAGTCAGACCTTTCAACAAGATTAAAGAGATGCTATTAATTGGTATTGATCACAGGTCAACAAATTAAATTGCTTCTGCAGCTGCATCTCTGAGAGGTCCAAATGAGAAATGCTGCTAATGGGTCTGGCTGACCCAGTGTTGTGATTAATTAAAGAGGGAATGAAACCAAAAAAACAAACAAACCAAAAGAAAAATGTAATGGAAGACACTCTGGGTATCCTTAGAAATATTTAAAAGGAGAGGAGTCCCCAGCATGCAATTGACCATTTAACCCTTCCTGTCCTGGGAACCTGAGCAGAGTTGCAGAATACAATTCTTTTCTTATGACCTAGGATCCATTAGAAGATCAATGTAAAAACAAAATTGGTCTTTCATGTCTCCAAAATGACAATGGCTGACTTTCGGCTTCAGTGGTGAAGAGAGTTCACAAGCTGCAAGTATCACTCAATGACATAACAAGTGATTAATATTTCCCATAAATAGTCTGTGAAAGACCCTGTGCCCTACTAGTCACTCTGGCCTGAAATTTCATTTCCAGACACGATACTATAAGAAACAAGCATCAAAAGAGAACTATAGTTATATATTTCAGTCATTTAAGTGGTGGGAGTAAGGCAAAGGAAAATGGGGCGGGTCATGTGTAAGTATCATTGCACCTCAGAAGCTTTGTTTGACATATACCACCCAAGCAATATTACAAATTAGCAGATGGAGAAATGGCCTCAATGTCAGTAAGTTTTGGGTTCAAGGGTGCCTCTGACTCATACATGTCTTGGTTAAGTCCCTTACCTCAGTGCCCCTAGGCAGCTCTGTCAGACTATAGTTACACATGAATTGCTGATCTGCTTTGGAAGAGGGAGTTTCTATGCTGGATATTCTCCACATTTATGGAATCACATATCTGGATTAGGAAAAAAAGAAAAAGCCAAGCAGCCACCAACACATAATATGGCATCTCTTTGAGTAAGTGTCCTTAATGTTAAAACACAGCACACAGTTGCGTATTTCAGAGAAATCCAGTGAAAGAGCGCTGTGGCTGTCAGTCCTCATTACCCCAGTGTTTTATAATCCGAGTGCTCTCAGACTCACTTACTTCAGACAATCAAGACTCTACAGGAATTAGATTAATGGGAAGATGTTCAGGGCCGGCAATTGCATATGTGCAGCACCGCTTAGGTGTATGGCCTATGGTGCGCAAGCCTTTTCTTTCCCCTTTCTCTTAGTCTATCAGTCCTGAGTCATTCATGCTTCTAAAAGTCAGTGAAAAAAATCTCAGCCCTAGTAAAGAACTAGAGTGTCTTTATATTTTGTTATAAACTCTCAAGCCAAATTCTTCCAGGGCCCTCACTTCTCATTTGGAAATTGTTATCATTGAAGTCATGAAGAAAAGTTGACCCTGAGATAAGAACTTTATTCTTACCCATTGGGTGGCCTGAAAGGGTTAATGCATGTTTCAGAAGGCTGACTCTTCTCATTTTAGTTCATGACTGGGATTATTTAACTTTGTTATTATAAATGCTCTTAGTTTAAGCTTCTAGAAGGTTCAAGAAAACCAAACCAGAGAACTACATAGAGTAGGATTTATATATTCTAACAGGGTTGAAATACAAACCAAGTTTGAGTACTTGGTATCCCTTGATTTTTCCTTTGGAAATATGGTGGTAGTTTTTTTTTTCTTTCATTCCCCTCCATGGAGCAGTTTCCATCATAAACCCAATACAACAAGAAGAGGCCTGGATCAGTAAGTCAGGACAATTAATTTGACTGAATTCTGCTTTGTGTGGGATGAAACACTTTTTTTCTTTTTCTTTATGTTCTTTTTTTTGGGGGGGGGGTGGTTTAGGCAATTGGGGTTAAGTGATTTGCCCAGGGTCACATAGCTAGCAAGTGTCAAGTGTTTGAGGCCGGATTTGAACTCAGGTCCTCCTGACTCCAGGGCTGGGGCTCTATCCACTGCACCACCTAACTGCCCCTGAATCACTTTTTCTTGCAAGCCCCATCTCCTTTCATCCTTGTCAGCAAGGGAGGATAGAAAGTAAAAGTTTAAAATAATGACAGTAGTCTATTCTTGCATTGAAAAACTTCCAGGTTAATTTCACCTGCAAAATCCTACTCCGATGCTTCATCTGGTCATAGAAGTGACTCTGGGTCCTTGAAGATGATGCCCAGGAAATTCAAGGGCTGGCTGACTGGTTCTACCATGCTGAAAAAGGCTTCAGGTCTGGTTCCTACAACTGACAATATCTATTTGCAGGGACCATTTTTCTTCTTCAATAGCCACTGGAATAAAAAAAAACCTGTTTCTGAAATGGGGTAAAATATTAGCAGTTGAAGAGCTAAAAATACTGAAGTGTGCATACTACCTTCTCTGGCCAAGCATGGTTATACGTCTGGGAGTGATCCCTAGGCATGATGTCTCTGGAAAGTGACATTACACCAGAGTGCATGGTGGGGAAGCCATTCTCCTCATCAGTATTGCATAAACAGATGGAGAGAGAGAGAGAGAGAGAGAGAGAGAGAGAGAGAGAGAGAGAGAGAGAGAGAGAGAGAGAGAGAGAGAGAGGAAGAGAGAGATAGTTCTACCACTTACTAGCCAAGTGACCTTGGACAAAATCACTTAACTTCACTGAACTTTCAGGGTTCCTCATCAGTCAAATGAGGGGATTGAACCAATTCATTTCTAAGGTCTCACCCAGTTCCAAATCTTATGTTTCAGTGACCTCTACATGAGAGACCTTATGAAGAAAGACTTTTTCAGTCTGTCATCTATGGTTCAGTCAGGACCCCAGCACATTGGGTGGACCACTTGTGGAATACTTATTGGGAGGACAAAGACAAGAGTCATACTGGGTACACAAGTATGGTTGGGTTACAACCTGCTACATTGGAGGGGATACCTACATTGGTGGGATCGAAACTTCTTTAGAATACTAAGGGATGGTTTTCTTTTAGAGATTTGCTAGAAACTGCTTTGGGATCCATGAGTCAGAGTGCCAAGCTAGTTTATTAAAAAGAAAAAGGAAAGCACATATGCCCTTTTAGAAAATCACCCTAAATAATAACTAGTTCTAAGTAATAGCTAGTTCTAAATAACTAGGTCTTGCCTCAGTGTCACATGCACTCTCCAAAGATGAAAACCATTCAATATTAGGTATTGAATAACTAACTAGAATGGGGTAGCAGGATATGAGAAAACTTGAGAAGTAAAATATACTACAAACAATGTTTGCTGGTTAACACACTTTATATTTAACAAAATAATTTTTAATAATATATTCTTTCACACATCAAATATTGTTGCTAGAATCCCCTTTTTACAGTTTAGTGTTTAGGTTTTGTTTTGTTTTGTTTTTTCTTCACTAGTTTTCAGGCACACTATTGTTCAAAAATTTTAGAAATTGGGTCCTCATTAACCAACATCAGCTGACAAGCAGGCTGTTGATCCCAAACTTCCACATTGTTGGACTGAAAGCCCAGAAATCAAAAGAGGAAAGAGAAACAGGAGTAGGGCAGCAGGGAAGGGAGAGAAATGGTGGTCCATAAACAAAGCCTTAAAAAGAAAACGACCAACACAACTATAAACAGTCTTATTGTTTAGGGTTTGGCAAGAAGATCTCAATGGCCTGTTGAGAAGAAAACTATAAAATGCAATGGATTTCTGAGAAATTATTACAGTAGAGGCTCACATCTCCCTAATGGCTGGGAGTGGGGTTGGGTGGGAAAGGGGAACCCAAGAAAACCAACCCTATGTCAGCTCTACAAAATCTTAATGGAAACAGTAGAAGCCCCTGGAATGGGTTGAGGTCAGGGAGATTCTTTCTGGCAGCTAGCCAAGGTGAGGTCAGTCCTCCTTCAGCGATGTATGTAACTACTCCCCGAAGATCTTCTTGACTGACGATATAGTAAATTCGTGCTGTGACTCTCACTGTGCCTGTCCTTTGATGCAAAATGACTCTATCTCAGCTTCCCAATCGCATTTTTCCTTTTCTATTCCCCATAAAGGACATCATGGCTCCTTAATAATAGATGGGGCACTATGCTACATGGCTCTACTCATGGTATTCTTTGTGTTTCAAACCTTATTCCTGTCATTTATTATTGTTATTTTATTTCAAAGAATGTGGATTTTTGAAGCTGGCAACAGACAATCTCCACGCAAAGGAAACAGTATCGTACATCTCTGTCTATCCATGAGCTGACACCATGGAATGCCTTTACTTTTGAGTGAAGGGATAAATCATGCAGAATTGTTCATGAATGATTCATGACTGTCTATATGATATATTCATGGTGGCAACCGAAAGGCACTAGCTTCCCTGCAAATTGGCATTGTAAAGGATGGTGGCATTGGCCTGCTTCAGTACAACCGAAGCGATACCATGGAGAGAATGTTGGGGTTAGCTCCCCGATACATTCATTTTAGGCATGACAACTCTCTTCTCTGGATGGCATTAGGCATTTTCAGGGAGGAAAGCCTGGCAATTTAAAATGAAAAATGGGCCACAGGAATGGCAGAAATATGTATCCTGAGGTTGGACCAGTGGCAATATGAGGACTACCCATGGGGGAAATCTAACCCTTTAGGACAGCTGAGGGATTCACATCCCAAAAGGTCTAAGGAGTGATATAGAGGCAGCATGCACAGGAATGAAGCAAGAAGCTTTGGCGGGAGACCTTCTTCCTTCCAGGTAGAAGCCCCATGGAGTTGGTTGAATTCCAGATTGGGGCCCTCCCATCATGAGGTCCAGATTACCATGAGAACCGAAGAAGAAAGAATGAAAACCTAAATTAGAGGCCATCTTAGAATTTCCCAAAGGATCAAGCGGTGTTTGCTTCGGTGTCCTCAGGACCAGAGAGTGGAATTAGCAACAAGTCATGTTGCCTGGTTTCGGAGTTTCTATTCTACACTTGAATCAAGATGGTCTTAGGATACCCTGTGTATTTTTTCTGTTACTGTACTAGCAGCATTGCCAGGGCAAGCTTGAGACCTTGCAAAGGTTCACTGTTCATTTCTATGTATATACATGTGCATATATATTTATATATTGTGTGTACATATGTACTCACATATATGCAAACATGCATACATATCTTTAAATGGTCAACTGATAAAGTTGCATTGTGCAAGTCTCACCCTAATCTCTACCCTAATCACTAATTTAAATCAGCACTTGAGGTGGAAAGAGTGTCCTGAATCTTGTCTTTTTCGACATAGGGCTGAGCGGATGTTACTGTAACATGATAAATACAGACTCGATCCAGGAAATTTATATAACCTCCTGGCTTTCAACCAAGTCTGGCCTCCAGAGCCAAGGCTGTTCAGAACAATTCAGATTCACAGTGGGACTGTTCAACTTGGCTCTCAGAGTTATATTGCCAGATGACAGTGTTATTATGTTTATTTGAATGTGTTTGGGACAGTCCAAACTCAGTACAGCAGTATGATGAAGTCTGGTGGCTAATGTAATATTTTTTTAAAAAAAAAGTCTTTCAAGTGGAACCCCGTTTCTTTGCCATGGCTGCATTTGGGTCCAGGTTTTCCTTCCCACCTTAGTATGCATTGGCAGTTTCAAGGTCTTACTCTTGAAACTCAAGTGGTTTTCCTCAGTGCGGGAGGCACCACCAGGTGGAGAAAGCACTCAGCCCCTAGCCTGCTCCTTAGTGCCTCCTCCCAGTCTCTGCTTCTCTTTTCCTATCACAGGACATGAACATGATTGACATGGGTGGTTTGATTAATCTGAGTCTTGGTGTGCTCCTAGTTATAAATATGCTCACTATTTAGGCATTCCTTTTTCTCAGCATTTTGGCTCAGCTGAAAACTTTTTTTTTTTCATTCTATAGATTCTGGTCCCCAAGATTCTAAAAAGGGAGGGAACCCGCAATAGGAAAATGCCATGTTTGATGTATGGAAGAGTAAAAAGGAGTTAAACAGCTGAAGATAAATTGGCAGGTCAGAGGCATCACCAGCAAAGGCGTCTGTGAATGGATGGTACTTCCTTTCTGATTCAGAAATCCTGTCCTTGTGTCACCGCCAAGCATTGGGACTTACAAAAGTGGGTTAGATAGCTAGATACTGTATATATTCGGTATAGCAAGAAAGAGAAAGAGAGAAATTTCCTCTTAGTAAAATATTCACTTTTGTCAACCCTAAAAGGTTTTGCTGGTGACCCGGTTGTAGCTGGCAGGAGTTTTTGTTTTGTTTTGTTTTAAACATGTGCAGTGTAGAAGCCATAACACTTTTTTTTTCATTTTATGGACTTGTCATTGGTTGGGATTCTGCTTTAAACAGTCAGCTTGCCTTGGCATTCACGTTTTGAACACTGAGCAGGCTTCCACCAGTCCCCGTTGTGACAGTGACAGATGTTACATTCATCCACTTTCACTTCAATGCCAGCCGGAATTATTGTGGTTCCTGCAAAGCAGTTTGGACCTGGAATACATACAGAAATAGATTAATTAATGAAAGTGGGTAGGGTAAAAACAAAGCCATGTATGAGGAGGTCGAAGGCAAGCCACTCTATGGAGTTGCTTATCATCTGGGAATCTCTAGTTATCCTCTCTCAAATTCGGCTACAGGTACTTTTTACCCAACACCACCACTGGCGGCATATACACGCTTTTTGTTTGTTTGTTTGTTTCCTTTGCTTTCCTTTGTTTTTATGGGGCTGATTGCAGAGTTCTTTGGTGCATGGAGTTTGCTAAATTAGAATTCTATGGATAGCTATGCTGGTTCTGTCCTCTAGTTAGGAAGGCCACTAGAGACTTAGTTATAAATGAGAGAATAGGGCTAGTGTGGCTATCTCTAGCAGATGACTGATACCCCCATCTGGTTTGTCTTCTCACTCCCCCAGTGGCAATAGAAGACAATGAGCCCTCTCAAGCCTGCGCCTCCCTCACCTCCCGGATTATAGCACCTTTTGGAGCCCAGTTCCTGGAATTCCCGGCATGTTTCTTGATAACAATGAATAATTCATGGTGGATGATTTATTCCTATCTCAAACAAGTGTTGTTAGTGGTTCATTTGATTTTTATAAATGGAGTTCCTTTAATCTGTTGGCTACCTTTGTGTGCATTTATATATTTATTTGTTTGCATAGAACAACCACCAAAAGAATAACTTCAAAGTCAGCAGGAATTTTATTTTCTTGGGTTCATAAAAGCCTGACAACGTCATCTAGCTCTCTGTGGCTGGATCTTTTGAGATTCTCCGATTTCATTCTCTCTCTCCCCTCTCCTCTTTCTCCCTCCCTCTCTATCCCCCTCCTCTCTCTCCCTCCCTTCTTTCACTTCTTAGTTCGCCCTCTCCTCTCTCTTTCACTCTGTCCCCCTCCCCTCCCTCCTTCCCTTTTCTTTTCCCCCTTTCCCTCCTTCCATTGTCTTCCTTCTTTATGCCCACTCTCCTCTCTCTCCCTTCTTCTGTCCTCCCTCCTCTCTTCCCCTCACTCTTCTGTTACCCCTTTCTCTCTCTCCTTCCCTGCTCTCTTTTCCTTGTGCCTCCTCTCCTCTCCCTCCCTATGTCCTTCTTCTCTCTTCCTCCTCTCTCTGTCCCCACTCAATCATTCTCCCTTACCCCTCTTTCTTCTTCCTTCTTTCCCTCCTCCTTCCCCCTCTCCTTCCCTTCTTTTCATCTCCGTGTCTTTCATTCTTGAATCCCCCCCTCATTTCTACTTTCCACATGTGCATGCACACACACCTTCACACAAAATTTAAGCTGATGCTGAACTTCAGATCTAAATGAAACAGAAATGTCATTGTTTTCCAAGTTTTAAGTAATGGAGTGGGAATGGGCCATATTGCCGATGCTTTGAAATAACTGGGAATATCAGAGATATGGTTATGGGAGCCTTAGGTGTGGTGGGGAATACAGATGTATTCCTAGCCCTAACCATGCTATTTCTTAAGCAGGCACTGTGAGTTAGACTTTGGCAAGGTGAACCAATACTTATCACCCCTCCCTTCTTCCTGTTGCCATGAATTTATAATAGGACATTTTACTCCTGTAGAACTAAGATCAGATACGCTTTATAGTCCCACTTGAAAATTGAACCTATGACTTAAAAAATACTTAATGTTACTCAAGTAACAAAACATACTTAGCATCAGTGCCTTGTTAAAGCCACAGCATCTGGCACCTATTATCTGAGTTTGAGTCTGTCCGGTGGAGGTGACTGATCTACATGCACACAATATACTTGGATTTGGTTTTCTTTCCTTCACCCTATGGGACAAGTGCATAAAGCAGCATGGACAAGTATCTGACATTTAAGGCCTGGCTATAAGATTTGTATTGGAAATGTTAACTGGAGGCGATTGCAGAACTCAATCAGCGGTTCGATTTCCCTATGTTATTCCAAGAGGAGAGAATGACTTTTATCAATGGAGGCCACATAAGCTGTAGTCTCTTTGTTATCCTCATTACTGAGCATAATAGGGAGACTGAGTCAGTTCCACAACCCCCTGCTAGGTCTCTGTTTGATGGTTCTAGATTACTCTAAAACAGGGGTTCTTAGTATGGGGTTTATGAACTTGTCTGTGTTAATATTTTAGTAACTATATTTCTATATAATTGAGTTCCTTCATAATTCTATATATTTTACTTTATACATTTAAAAATGTTACTATGAGAAGGGGTCCATAAATTTTATCAGACTTCCAGAGGTTTCCATGACAGAAAAAGAACCAGGAATCCCTGCTCTAAAAGCAATGAAGGCTAAATAGTGAATTGGACCAATGAGCTGGTTCTGGAACTAAGTTTCTTCATGACCTTTGGCCCAGGAGCCTTTCTTCATCTCCAAGCTGCTGTCAATAGACAATTACTAGCCAGAACAGTTCCATGTAGAAGTCAAAGGACCTGATGAAAACTGAACTGAATTCAAGAATAAAGTTGACTCACTGGATTTTATGTTTGTTTATTTGTTTGTTTGTTTGTTTTTGGTAATCATCTTAGAAGAGGAAAAGTTCTTATCCAATCACCCCATATATACATCCATGATCTTTTTCATGGAGACACAGATATAAGAGAGGAGATGAAAATGAAAACCGAAACAAAAGGGTTAAATATGGTCTTCCAAATCTTTTCTTGGATTCAACAGTGGTTGCGGAGAATCTGTCAAATAAAATCTTGACAATTTTAATTATTTCTACTAGTTTTTCAGTTTATTCTCTAGCGTTCTCTAAGTATACCATTGTATCATCTGCGAAGAGTGATAGCTTTGTTTCCTCATTGCCTATTCTAATTCTTTCAATTTCTTTTTCTTCTCTTATTATTTTTTTTTTGGAGTTGTTTATTTTCAAAATCCTGGATTATTTCAAAAGGGCAATGCAGGTAGAGTCAAGGCAAGGGAGTTGGGCTCAGGAAAGAAAGGCTCTTTCAAATTATTACCCATATGTTTGGATAAATTTGGGGAAATGCCTCCCTTTCTACAGCTTCCTTTTTCTATGTATGACCAAATAGATCATAGAGAGGTCTGGCTATATTTGATTAATCTCTAAACATCATCCTGTGAGTCCCACTAACAGTAGTCTGCACTCTCGGGGGGTGCTTAGGAAATATTAATTGATGATGTCAGTTATGTGACAGGAAACCCCTTTGCATGATACCAGGCCTGATGGGTCACAGTACGATTGTTGAGGTAGGGAATACTCAGCTGCCCCACTCACAGCAGGGGCATTTTTATGTAACTGGAAAACCTTTTTTCATCTCATCAATTTTATTAGTACCATGATTTTGTTAGTGCTCTTCTGGAAGCTTGTTGGTCTAACTACATCCAGCTACTCTTTGGCATTAGATGATCTTATCTCATTAAAAGTTATTTAGATATTTGTCCTGCAGAACAACCAATGGGATGTGGATGTTGTCTGGCTAGGACACACCTTCATTGGCAATTACCTTGATCACTTTTGCTTAGCTTCCCACTCCCCACCAACTTATGATTTCAGGGCTCTAAGACATACTTTTGTTGAATTTCAGTTGCCCATCGTCCTATCAATGACTTCCTTTGGAATGGGAATAATTCAATTTGCTTCTCTCTACCCAAGCCCTGCATCAGGGGAAGTTGCTTAGGAGAGTAAACTGTATTACAAAAGCAACATATTTGGATGTGGAGTCCTTGGAGAGGGTCCAAAGGGAGCAATGAAAATGATTAAACTAAAGGCTGGCAAATAGGACCTCTGAGGAAAGGTTAAAGGGATTGAATTATTTAATCTGGAATGAGAAGACAGAGTTGTAAATCAGTAAGTCTTTAAGTATGAAGGGTTATTATATGGAGAATGGTGATCAACTGTTCTCCATCTCCACAGAGGCCCAGAATAAGAGGAAATGGGAATAAATCTTATCTTGAAGTAATTAGATTGAATAGCTGTATACTATGTGCTTCCACAAGGATGTATATACAGCTATTCAGTCTAGGAGGTGACTGTCACCAAGAAAAGGGGCAAGATTTTTCTCTTGGATATCTAGCAGTGCAATGCAATGTAAAGAGATTGGCTTTAGAGTCAGAGGACTTTGGTTAAAACCCCACCACTGTCACATCACCCTCCCTGAGAGAACTTAGGCAAGGCACTTAACATTAATGGGCCTCAGTTTTCTCAGTTATAATATAGTCCATGAAAAATCCAAAGTGACCAATTTGGACTAGATGGATTCTGAAGTCCTACTAGATCTATGATCCTGTGATCTTTAAAAACAGAAGAAATGCTCATTTACCAGGTGTGGCTCAAGCAGAAAACTTCACCAAGAAAAAGAGGAATACACATATATATGACAGATAGATGCAGATAGATAGGAACTATACTACAAGAACTCTCTATAAGTCTATAGATATATCTATTTATATGTGTATATCTACATCTGTACATATATATGGAGAGAGAGAGAGGGAGAGAGAGAGAGGGGGAGAGACAGAGAGAGAGGGAGAGACAGAGAGAGGGGGAGAGAGAGAGAGAGAGAGAAAGAGTTCTTGTAGTATAGCTGCTATCTTCTTTAAAAGAGGAGGACCTTGAAGATGACTGGAACTCATAATTCCCTAAACTTTGCCTCTGGTACATTTCACAAGGTCTCAGCTAAAAAAATGGGCATAGGAAAGGCAGAGTACAGGCTAAGGTTCTCATCACTGAATTTTGCCTCTCTGGAGATGGCTGGAGTACCACTTGGATTATTACTATACCTTAAATTTTTTCATGATCAATTATTGTAGTTCTAAAAGAATGCATTAGCATTCCCTTAGGTCAAAATATTAAAATGGGAGCTAATATGAAAATATGGCCTTAATAAATTTCAGCAATTAGAAAATAGTTTGGTAGGAGGAGTAAGGATGGGGGAAGAATCCAACAGCTTTTATTCTAACCATGGTCTATTGGTTCCTAATCTATAAAACAGAAAGGTTAGATTAGATAATCTTTGCCACTTACTATCTGTGTGACCTTGGGCAA